TGACTGCTCAAATCCTTCTGGTTTTCAAAAAGTGGCGTTTTTTATGATTTTTTCAACTTTTTCAAAACTTATTTAAAAAAAACTAACTGATCTTGAAATTCTCAATCTTAAGGATGGGTTTCTGTCAGGATATATTCAGGGGATACTGTAAGGGTAAAATTCTGGTCTCTACTTTAACTCCTGTTTTTTTGTATCCGAGATATTGCATTTCTCATGATTTTTTCAATACTTTTTCAACGAAAACAGATTTAAAAACAACTAATTGAAATTGAAATTCTTAAACTTATGTTGGGATGCTGTCCAGGAAAAAAATAGAATGTCAACTCTGACCTCTTATTTTATCTGCTCAAATCATTTTGGTTTTTGGCATGTGGCCTTTTTTTATGGAAAAGAAACCCCTGATAATTGAGCTCAGTTTATCTTCATGGTTGCATTAAAGATCGCTGCTTTAGTACAAGTTTTAGGAAGACCTTTTCATATTCAATGATTTACTTGGAGCACTGTAGGTGCGAATCATGCGCTAGTGCATTCCAATTATCATTTAGTTTTTTGGATTCTATTTTACTGATTATTTTGCACTAAAATTGCATGGAGTTAGTATTTGTTTTACTCAGTTTGGTTTGTTTGAATTCAATTACATTTCATTTGAAATTGATTTAACTGATGATTATTTGAGTATTTCAAAGTTTTCGAAATACAACTCCAAATTTTTAAAGAAAAATTCATTAGTTTCGAAAAAAAAAATCAAAATTTTTCAGAATATTTTTTCTTGCAATTTTGACATAACTGTTTCGTCTTTGAAAGAATGTGGCGGGCGTCGTACGATATTCAAGAGTTTTGTTCTCTCCGGCTGAGTTTGTAAAAAACTTAATTTTTTGTGTTTTATTTATTTAACGGGTGTAATTTTTGCTGTAATCTTTTTGTGTCGTTTTTTTTAGAATTGATAGGTTATGTTTTTGGGATGTTTTCATATATTTCAAAAGTCTTATAAGTTTTTCTGCAAGTTGTTTCTTGTGACAACTTTGTAACTTATGCTGTCATTTTTTCAAAGTACTGGTCTTTGATAAAATTTATTGACTAAGCGAAATTTGAATTTACGATCCAAACGACAGCTATTAGTTGGAACTAACAAAAATTTCATGGATTAATGAAAATAACCCTGCATTAAGAGAGATCGAAGGCGAGTCTACAAATAAGTCAAAAAGGAGGTCTGATGTTGAAAATGCCTAAAAGATGACATCCAAAGCTGCGACTTGAGCTAAGATACACTGGTAAATTTTTTGAAAAGAATAGTCGAAGTTTACCGTACAAGCAAGTTCAACAAAAACGTTTAATTTCAGTTAACTAGCCTATGATCCAAATCAGAGTAATAGAAATGAATTGGGGTGGTTGTCTGCAGCAAAAATTGACTGGGGTGATTCTTATTACTTGAATTGATGTTTTTTTTTTCACGCTTGCGATTAGCAAGCATTATCAAATCGGAATGTAGACTTTTGTTTTCGGGTTAACACCTAGTTTAACAAAATCAATTGAATCATTTGCAGCTGACATAGCTGCATCACAGCTGACATACAGTTGAATCACTTGCAGGTGGGTACTAGTTACTACAAGGTAGCTGCAGAGAGACTTGCAACATTAAAAGTTTTTTACGAAATCATTTTTTTTTTCGACTCAACTTGTGTCTGGTCAAAGATTGTCGGCCTTGTTTCCGCTTCGTAAAATTTGATCAGTTGCTAATTTGAATTTCACATATCTTGCATGGCATGTTTGCCTTCAGTTTCCTGCATGATATAAAAAGATACCTTGAAAATGTATTGGATTGGGTTTTTATTTTTTTTTTGACGCTTTGACAAAAAATTTCGCTTCTCTGAATATTTTTGTTTTCTCAAAAACGGCTCTACCGATTTTCAGAAAAGTGGTATAAAGGAAATTTTGTCTACTCTCCTGTGTGCCTGCTCAATTTCCTAGTCTCTTTTTACCCTACCCCCTTTTTCTACAGCCGCTGAAAAACTGTGGGGGAATTTTGACCCATTTTTTTGAATTTTTTTCTACATGTTTCCAAAAAAGCCTAAAATTGAGATTGTGATTTGAATCGAAAGATCAGGTGGTAGGGAGCTTCCTTGCTTTTTGAGGATACACCCAAATTTCTTTAAACAAGAAGTTATGGCCCTGAGAAAAATCAAATTTTCGATTTTGACCATTTTTTGAACTTTTTGATTTCTCAAAAACTGCCCTCCCAAATCTGAGTTTTTGATTTTATTCAAAAGGGCGGGTTATGAGAAGCCGTATCACTACTACAAAATCAAAAAAGGTCAAACAGGTACCTTAAGTTTTAGCTAGGCCCCTAGTCCTTTTTGATAAAAACAGGTTGTATGAAGATGTATGGGATTGGGTTTTTTTATTTTACTTTTTTGAGACACTGAAAAATTTTGATCACTTTTTGCAAATAATTCAGTTTTTTTATCAAAAAATTTTCTACCGCTGTGCAAAAAAGGTATCCACAGAAAAACGGCCTACGCTTGAATCTGATAAGCTGTCAACGTAAACTTTGGCGTTGAACCAATGAGTGTTTTTTGATAATTATTTTTGATTCACTTAAAATTTATCAGTTCATTCAAGAATAAAAAATAATGAAAAGATTTCGAAGTTAGTTTTTGCTGTGATATTAGGAACTGGTATTTCATTTCACGCATCCCAAAAAATGTGGACCTGAATTGTCGGTTTTACCTTTTCCGCCACTCCTTGGATATTTTTTTTCTAATCAATTGCTTTGATGGAAAGATTGTTCTAACTTACGAGCTATGAGATCATTACTATTTTTTCAGCAAATTTCAAAATAGTTAGAAATGGTAACTATTCAAAATTTGAGGGTTAATTTGAGCGTTAATTTGAGGGTTTTTTTGTCAGGAGTTTTAACTGCTCTAAACGTTTTAACTTTCGAGATATGAGATTCATAATGGTTTTTAATTTCATATACTGAAATACTTATACGTTTGAAATTGTCAACCCTAACCGTATGTTGCGGTGCTGTCTGAATGCTCATAGGGGTTTAATTTTTGCCCAGTTGGAATTTTTTTATTTTAGTTTTTGAGCATGAAATATTTGATTACATTTTCATCCTAAAGAATTTTGATCGTTGTTAGTCTTTTTACTCTTGCGAAGCAATGTGTTATAGTACGAACCCAACCTAAGTCGCAAATTTTGTTGCGACTTTTGTTGGAACTAAGTCGCAATTAGTGTTGCAACTTAAGGCACCAATATTTGCTGCGTCAAACTTGGTGCATCGAATTGGCAATAAGATATTTTGATATTTTGTTCCTCTTTGATAAAAACGGGTGTTATGAAAATGTTATTGGGATCGGTTTTTTTTAATTCTTTTGAGACGCGTTAGAAAATTTACGTTTTTCTCAAAAACTACTTCACCGATTTTAAAAGAGTGGTACCAATGGTAAATCCGCCCACTCTCCTGTGTGCCTGCATACTCCCCTAGTCTCTTTTTACCTTACCCCACTTCCTACAGCCTTCGAAAAAGTGTGTGGGCGGACTTTTTTGACCCAAATTTTCTGGTTTTTTGCATTTTATCGAAAATTACTCGTCCAAATCTGAGATTTTGGGTTCAGTGGATAGAAAAAGTCGTGGCTACGCCCAGATTTTTTCACACAAAAAATCATGGCTCCCAAAAAAGTCAAGCTTTCGGTTTTTTAACCGTTTTTTCAACCTTTTTGACTTTTCTCAAAAACTACGCTCCAAAATCTGACGAGTTTTTGACCGTTTTTTGAAACTTTTTGATTTTTCTCAAAAAGTACCCTCCCAACTCTGAGGTTTTGGTTTGAATGAGTTGAATAGGTTCTGGGAAGCTCTGCTACTGAAACGTTTAGGTCTAAATTTTTTTTACACAAAATTTTATGACCCTCTGTAAAGTCAATTTTTCGATTTTGTGAACTTTTTCCAACTTATTGACTTTTCTCGAAAATTACCCCCTCAAATCCGAGATTTTGTTTTCAATAGGTAGAACGGGTTGTGAGAAGCTCTCCTGCATAAGCGGTAACGCCCAAATTTTTTACCCAAAAAATTTATGACCCTCAGAAAAGTAGAATTTTTGACTGTGTTTTGAAACTTTAAGACTTCTCAAAAACTACCCTCCCGAATCTGAGATATTGGTTTCAGTGTCAAAAACGACTGGTTGAAGCAGCTCCACTGTATAAGCGGTTAAGCCCAAATTTTTTACACAAAGTTATAACCCTCGGAAAAGTCAAATTTTCGATGTTTTATCGTTTTTTGAAACTTTTTTGACTTCTCTCGAAAACTACCCACCCAAATCTAATGAGCAACGTTTTAATCATCTTTTAATCTAACAAGCTCTTTTAATCACTTCAATTTTTAAGAAAACTGAAGTAATTGATGAATATAACAGATTTTGAAGTCATTAAATAGGGATTTATTTTTCTTTGGTATAGGTCTGTTTTTGAAATTACCCTTGTCCTTCCGCATCAACACAAAAATTTCAAAAATTATATAACAGGTATTCCCAGCTTTAGCTGGCCTCTAGTTGCACCTTTGATACTTAGGTGCACCTTTACAGCTTATGATAACATGTGCTTTGACATTCGAATTGTTATAAATTTACACAGTTGATGCATTTTTAAATTCATCAAGTGAAACGAAGAAATCTATTTGCTTCAAACTACAACAATAAAATCTCAATTTCAGAAAATTTCTAGCTCAATATATCTTGCAATTTTCGAAATGCATAAATTATACATACTATGGCTGTATGATTTTCAATTTTTTTTTTCATGTAAAATTGTATCCTTTTGTATTTGATGCTACTTTTGCTGTATCGATTTTACTCCAATTAGAAGCTGTCTGTAATTTCGAGAATTCTTTCTGTTTCGGAGAGACATAGAATGAATTTAAGTTTTGTTTTGCAGAGAAAAACGGAGTCGTGAAAGGAGAGTTCTACTTTTTCTTGAATCGATAATTATAATCTTATTTTACAGCATTCGGGATACAAGTGGGAATGTGACCAAGAGCGTCGAGCTTGTGATCAGAAAGCGAAGCAGTTGTGAGATCAGACCGTTTGACCTGGTGTTAGAGAAACGCACGTTCACAATCATGAATTTGCTGTTGTCCAAGCTGAATGTAACTTCCAGGGAACAAGACGAGTTGAATTGTAACGGCGTAGTACCTGTCACAAGTACAGTTGGACGGGTTCAAAGTGGTGCTTCCAGCAACCACAACTTGAACAGAGCTTCATGTTACGAAGGTAAGAACAACGCTAGAAAACTCTTGGTCAATGAAATACGTTTGTCTTTTTGAGTATCAATGACTATAGATCGTGATGATTTTGTGTTAACTGAATATCGATAGTGGAACAAAAAAAACTCGTGTACGAAATTTTTTTTTCATGAGAGCTCTACCTTGTTGGCCTAGAGTCAATCCCAAGAAAACTTAATGTTGAATGTGATAAGCTGTCAACGTATAATTTGCTGTTGAACCAAACAGCGATTTTTAATACTTAACTCTGATTGACTTAAAAATTATCAGTTCAGTCTAGAATAAAAATGATGAAAAGACCACAATTTAATTCGTTGTGAAATAAGGAACTGGGATTTGAATTCAAGCATCTCAAAAACTGTGAGTCAACGCATCGGTTTTGACCCTTCTGTTTCTCCGTAGAATTTTGTTGCGCAGTCGGCTTGATCGAAAATTTTTTTGCGCCCCAAGGAAATGTAATTTTTCTTAACTATAGACAAGCTTGTTTCTAATAAAATGTTATTGTCTTTGGCGTGTATTTGCAAAATTTGCTTTTCAGACCAGAGTGGGAGCCGAGATCTTGTTCTGTATTTGGGTTTGATTGCTTTATACGTTGGTTATGGTGCATTTATAATTGTATAGATAAAACCTGAACCAACAGCGATTTTTGATAGTTAATCTGATCGACTTAAAATTTATCTGTTCAGTTTAGAATGAAAAATGATGAAAATATTTCGATTTGATTTGGTATGAAATTATGAACTGGGATTTGATACTACGCAACGCATCACGAAAAGTTTGGACCTACCCTATTGATTTCGATACTGCTGTCATTTCTAAAGTTGTTATAAGCAATCGTTTTGATCGAAAATAAGTTTCATTTTGCGCTCCAACGAATTGTGTTTTGCAATTTGTTAGGTTTCATGATTAGTAAACTTAACCATGAGGAAAATTTTGGCTGTTTGGAGTTAATTTATCAAGATAATAATTCTGCTTCTACTGCGGCCTAGACACAACGCCTTTGACAACTCAGCCATCCTGTCATTGTCAAACCGAGCTCTCTGTTTGCAAAACATTCAAATTAGGATTGTGATGGACTGAAAACAACTTTGGTTAGCTTATTTCTTTGACATGTAGAGTAAAACTCTAGAAAGAATTATTGTTGAATCTCATAAGTTGTCAACGTTTAGTTTGGCGTTGAACCAAAGATTGTTTTTTGATATTTAACTCTGATTCACTTAAAACTTGTCAGTTCAGTCTAGAATGAAAAATGATGAAAAACTTTCGATGTTTTTGTTGTGATATAAGGAACTGGGATTTCAATCCACGCTTCCCAAATTATGTGGACCTAATGTGTCCATTTTAACCTTTCTGTCATTCCTTAGGTGTTTTAGGCAACTGTTTTGATCGAAAGATTGTTTCATTTTGCGCCTCAATGCAAAGTGCTTAATTCAAAACAAATTTTTATAAATTTAAGCAGTCTTATTCTTGATAACATGCTGCTTTCTCTGGCTTATATTAGCTAAATTTGCTTTTTTTCTGACAACCTTGCGAGCTGATCTCATCTTTCTCAGAATGGTTCAATTCAGCGTAGATTTTTCTGAAACAAGTTCATTTTACATGCCAAAAAAAAACATTTTTACCTTTTGCAAAACTCATAATTAGGTTGATTTATCCTTGAGGAACAATCTGGCTGAGTTGGAGTTTCTTTTTTCAATATTATCGTTTTTCAGACGAGAGTGGGATTTCGGCACTCGACGAAGTTTGACACTCGACCAAACTCGAAGTTTTCCCGAAGTTGATTTGAGCGCCGATATGTATATATAATATCGAATTTTTTTCCTCATTTTTTTTTAAAATCTAGACCGAAATGGTAATTTGTAAGCACATCAGAAATACTTGCCAAAAATTGCTGTTCAGTTCAGCACCAATCAATACGTTGATAGCTATTCAGCTTCAACAACTAACTTTCCTTAGGTTTGCTTCTACGCCAACATGATGAACAATTTAGTCAATCAAAACTGACTACAAAACATCACATTAAAAGATTTTGCAATTTGCTGAATGAACAAAAAGTTCTCTGGATTCAAAATTAATTAAAAAATTAGAGCATTCAACTTAAAAGCAGCATGGCCGAGGGGTCTAAGCCGCTGCGTTCCAGTTGCAGTTTTTTCGGATACGTGGGTTCGAAGCCCGCTCATGTCAAAGAAAGTGGTTTTGTGAGAATTGAGTCCCCTAGCCAACCACACTGATTGCAAGTATTAGCAATTCAAAGTCCCAAAAATTTCTGCAACAAGCAGAATAAACAAAACTAATCTGTGGATTGAAAATTACTTAATTTGTGAGTGATTGCTGTAAAGGCAGGATGGCCGAGGGGTCAAAGGCGCTGCGTTCAGGTCGCAGTATCTTGGGATGCGTGGTTTCGAATCCCACTCCTGACGAGAAAAAGGTTTTATGATATTTTTGTTTCCCTAGCCAACCACACTAGTTGTATCTATTGCCAATTCAAAAGAATAAAAGATTTTGCAATTTGCAGAAAAAAAAAATTATCCGGATTGAAAATTAATTAAAAAATTAGAGCATTCGACTTAAAAGCAGCATGGCCGAGGGGTCTAAGCCGCTGCGTTCCAGTTGCAGTATTTTCGGATACGTGGGTTCGAAGCCCGCTCCTGTCAAAGAAAGGGGTTAATTGAGAATTGAGTCCCCCAGCCAACCTCACTGATTGCAAGTATTAGCAATTCAAAGTCCCAAAAATTTCTGCAACAAGCAGAATAAACAAAACTAATCTGTGGATTGAAAATTATTTAGTTTTTGAGTGATTGCTGTAAAGGCAGGATGACCGAGTGGTCAAAGGCGCTGCGTTCAGGTCGCAATATCTTGGGATGCGTGGTTTCGAATCCCACGCCTGACGAGAAAAAGGCTTTATGATATTTTTGTTTCCCTAGCCAACCACACTAGTTGCATCTATTGCCAATTCAAAAGAATAAAAGATTTTGCAATTTGCAGAAAAAAGAAAAAATTCTCCGGATTGAAAATTAATTAAAAAATTAGAGCATTCGACTTAAAAGCAGCATGGCCGAGGGGTCCAAGCCGCTGCGTTCCAGTTGCAGTATGTTCGGATACGTGGGTTCGAAGCCCGCTCCTGTCAAAGAAATTGGTTTTCTGAGAATTGAGTCCCTGGCCAACCACACTGATTGCAAGTATTAGCAATTCAAAGTCCCAAAAATTTTTGCAACAAGCAGAATAAACAAAACTAATCACTGGATTGAAAATTACTTAAAGTTTTTGAAAGATTGCTTTACAGGCAGGATGGCAGAGTGGTCTAGGGCGCTGCGGTCAGGTCGCAATATCTTCGGTTGCGTGGGTTTGAATCCCGTTCCTGACAAAGAAAAAGGTCTTCTGAAATTTTAGTCTCCCTAACCACACTAATGGCGACTAATGGCAATTCGAAGGACTAAAAGATTTTGCAACATGCGGAACAAACAAACATATTCTCTGGAGTGAAAATTAATTGAAAATTTTAAGCATAAAATTTGAATGCAGCATGTTCGAGTGGTCTAAGCCGCTGCGCTCATGCCGAAGTATGGAATCCCATATCTGTCAGAGAAAGAGGTTTTATAATATTTTAGTCCCCCTAGCCAACCACACTAATTGCGACTATTGGCAACTCAAAGGACCAGAAGTTTTTGCAACATGCGGAACAAACAAAAATTTTCTCTGGAATGAAAATTAATTGAAAATTTAAGCGTAAAATTTGAATGTAGCATGTTCGAGGGGTCTAAGCCACTGCATTCAGGGAGCAATATCTTCAGTTCAGTGGGTTCGAATCCCAAATCTGTCAGAGAAAAAAGTTTTTTTTGGAGATTGTAGCCTCCATAGCCAATCACACTAATTGTAAGTTTTAGCGGTTCAGATTACCAACAATGTTTGCAAAATGCAGAAGAAACAAAAATATTATCTGGAATAATTTAAAGATGAAGCCTAAAAGGCAGGATGGCCGAGTGGTCTAAGGCGCTGCGTGTAGGCCGCAGTAACTGCGGTTGCATGGGATCGGATCCCCCTTCTGTCAAAGACAAAGATTTTATAATATTCTTCTTTCCCAAGCCAACCACACTAGTTGCAACTAATGCCAATTCAAAGGAATTAAAGATTTTGCAATTTGCAGAATAAATAGAAAAATCTCCGGATTCAAAATTAATTAAAAAATTAGAGCATGCGACTTAAAAGCAGCATGGCCGAGGGGTCTAAGCCGCTGCGTTCCAGTTGCAGTATTTTCGGATACGTGGGTTCGAAGCCCGCTCCTGTCAAAGAAATTGGTTTTCTGAGAATTGAGTCCCCTAGCCAACCACACTGATAGCAAGTATTAGCAATTCAAAGTCCCAAAAATTTCTGCAACAAGCAGAATAAACAAAACTAATCTGTGGATTGAAAATTACTTAATTTGTGAGTGATTGCTGTAAAGGCGGGATGGCCGAGGGGTCAAAGTCGCTGCGTTCAGGTCGCAGTATCTTGGGATGCGTGGTTTCGAATCCCACTCCTGTCAAAGAAAAAGGTTTTTTGATATTTTAGTATCCCTAGCCAACCACACTAGTTGCAACTATTGCCAATTCAAAGGAACAAAAGATTTTGCAATTTGTTGATTAAACAAAAAGTTCTCCGGATTGAAAATTAATTAAAAAAGTAGAGCATGCCACTTAAAAGCAGCTTGGCCGAGGGGTCTAAGCCGCTGCGTTCCAGATGCAGGTTTTTCGGATACGTGGGTTCGAAGCCCGTTCCTGTCAAAGAAAGGGGTTTTCTGAGAATTGAGGCCCCCTAGCCAACCACACTGTTTGCAAAAATTAGCAATTCAAAGTCCCAAAAATTTCTGCAACAAGCAGAATAAACAAAACTAATCTGTAGATTGAAAATTACTTAATTTGTGAGTGATTGCTGTAAAGGCAGGATGGCCGAGGGGTCAAAGTCGCTGCGTTCAGGTCGCAGTATCTTGGGATGCGTGGTTTCGAATCCCACTCCTGTCAAAGAAAAAGGTTTTTTGATATTTTAGTATCCCTAGCCAACCACACTAGTTGCAACTATTGCCAATTCAAAGGAACAAAAGATTTTGCAATTTGCTGATTAAACAAAAAGTTCTCCGGATTGAAAATTAATTAAAAAAGTAGAGCATGCCACTTAAAAGCAGCTTGGCCGAGGGGTCTAAGCCGCTGCGTTCCAGATGCAGGTTTTTCCGATACGTGGGTTCGAAGCCCGTTCCTGTCAAAGAAAGGGGTTTTCTGAGAATTGAGGCCCCCTAGCCAACCACACTGTTTGCAAAAATTAGCAATTCAAAGTCCCAAAAGTTTTTTTGCAACAAGCAGAATAAAGAAAACTAATCTCTGGATTGAAAATTACTTCTCCCTAGCCAAATACACTAATGGCGACTGTTGACAATTCAAAGGACTCAAAGATTTTGCAACATGCGGAACAAACAAAAATATTCTCTGGAGTGAAGATTAATTGAAAATTTTAAGCATAAAATTTGAATGCAGCATGTTCGAGTGGTCTAAACCGCTGCGTTCATGCCGAAGTATCGAATCCCTTATCTGTCAGAGAAAGAGGTTTTACAACATTTTAGTCTCCCTAGCCAACCACACTAATTGCGACTATTGGCAACTCAAAGGACTAGAAGTTTTTGCAACATGCGGAACAAACAAAAATTTTCTCTGGAGTGAAAATTAATTGAAAATTTAAGCATAAAGTTTGAATGCAGCATGTTCGAGTAGTCTAAGCCGCTGCATTCAGGGAGCAATATCTTCAGTTTAGTGGTTTCGAATCCCAAATCTGTCAGAGAAATTTTTTTTTGAGATTATAGCCTCCATAGCCAATCACACTAATTGTATGTTTTGGCAGTTCAGATGACCAACAACGTTTGCAAAATTCTAAAGAAACAAAAATATTCTCTGGATTGAATGTAGTTAAAATTTTAAAGAATTATCTTCATAGGCAGGATGGCTGAGTGGGCTAAGGCGCTGCGTTAAGGTCGCAGTATCTTCGGATGCTTGGGTTCGAATCCCACTCCTGTCAAAGACAAAGGTGTTATAATATTCTTCTTTCCCAAGCCAACCACACTAGTTGCAACTAATGCCAATTTAAAGGAATAAAAGATTTTGCAATTTGCTGAATAAACAAGAAAAATCTCCAGATTGAAAATTAACTAAAAAATTAGAGCATTAGACGTAAGATCAGAATGGCCGAGAGGTCTAAGCCGCTGCGTTCAAGATGCAGTATTTTCGGATTTGTGGGTTCGAAGCCCGCTCCTGTCAAAGAAAGGGGTTTTCTGAGAATTGAGGCCCCCTAGCCAACCACACTGTTTGCAAGTATTAGCAATTCAAAGTCTCAGAAGTTTTTGCAACAAGCAGAATAAACAGAACTAACCTCTGGATTAAAAATTAATTAAAGTTTTTGAGAGATTGCTTTAAAGGCAGGATGGCAGAGTGGACTAAGGCGCTGGGGTCAGGTCGCAGTGTCTTCGGATGCTTGGGTTCGAATCTCACTCCTGACTAAGAAAAAAGTCTTCTGAAATTTTAGTCTCCCTAGTCAAACACACTAATGGCGACTATTGGCAATTCAAAGGACTAAAAGATTTTGCAACATGCGGAATAAACAAAAATATTCATTGGAGTGAAAATTAATTGAAAATTTTAGGCATAAAATTTGAATGCAGCATGTTCGAGTGGTCTAAGCCGCTGCGTTCATGCCGAAGTATCGAATCCCTATATCTGTCAGAGAAAGATGTTTTATAATATTTTAGTCTCCCTAGCCAAACACACTAATTGCGACTATTGGCAACTCAAAGGACTAGAAGTTTTTGCAACATGCGGAACAAACAAAAATTTTCTCTGGACTGAAAATTAATTGAAAATTTAAGCGTAAAATTTGAATGCAGCATGTTCGAGTGGTCTGAGCCGCTGCATTCAGGGAGCAATATCTTCAGTTTAGTGGGTTCGAATCCCAAATCTGTCAGAGAAGAAAGTTTTTTTGAGATTATAGCCCCCATAGACAATCACACTAATTGTAAGTTTTAGCGGTTCAGATTACCTACAATGTTTGCAAAATGCAGAAGAATATTATCTCGAATAATTTAAAGAATAAGCTTTGAAGGCAGGATGGCCGAGTGGTCTAAGGCGCTGCGTGTAGGCCGCAGTATCTGCGGATGCGTGGGATCGAATCCAACTTCTGTCAAAGACAAAGGGTTTATAATATTCTTCTTTCCCAAGCCAACCACACTTGTTGCAACTAATGCCAATTCAAAGGAATTAAAGATTTTGCAATTTGCAGAATAAATAGAAAAATCTCCGGATTGAAAATTAACTAAAAAAATAGAGCATTAGACTTAACAGCAGAATGGCCGAGAGGTCTAAGCCGCTGCGTTCCAGATGCAGTATTTTCGGATTCGTGGGATCGA